TTTTTGATAGGCATTGATTATTTAACAGGAATGTGGTTTTATTAATGCAGCTGCAGATTATATCATTATCGGTAAGTTTGTGGCGCGAAATTTGTTGGTTGTGTGAATTAATTATTGATCGAATATTTGGCATGCAGCTGTAACTTATTTTTGTTGTGTTTCTGTTGAATATTTTGTGAAGCTTATAATGTAATGGAAAATGCAAGTCAATTAAGTTTAAGAAAAGATGTCCAATTTTTGTTATCACATTTATAGTGTAAGTTGAAAAGTGTTGTTATTAGGTAGTGTAAGTTAGTGTACATAGTGTAGTGTAAGTTGAAAAGTTACATAGTGTAGTGTAAGTTGAAAAGTGTTGTTATAAGGATTAAATGTAACATCAAGGTATTTAATAATTTTCATATTAGATTGAATAGAAATACTGAGGTTGTTTTGTTTAAATATTTGAGTAAAACGCTTCTTAATTTTCAACATTTACAACACCATTAACTACAACACCATGATTTACAACACCATGAACTACACTTACTACAGATGCCAATCTTTTAAACCACCTACAAAAAAGTGTAACCTTTGCATCACTGAAAAGTATTTTATTATGACTTTTGATAGTCGACTACTACTTAAGAAAAAAAGTGAATTGGTTTCTGCTTGTAGTCATAGGAAAAAAATTTTACTATTTAACTTCGATTCCGGCGATTAGCAAATATTGGTTCACTTATAAATGATGTCAGATGCCGTTGCAACGCGAAATTTGTATTTTTATAACCGTTTTTATTTTTTATTTGAATAATATCGCTAATGATTGCCGAATGGGATGAAATTTTTAGTTCCATCATAAAGTTGTATTTTTTTTCATTTAAATTGTTTTAATATAATTTGATCTATTTCAAAAAAAAAAGATATTGATCACTCTTAGACAGACAAGAGTTGTATTTCCAGCAGTATACAACATTTATCAATAAATTTATCGTTCCTCCTGTTGAGCACTCTTCTTAAGTCGTTAAAAATGGAGAAAATTAACTTCAATTATTCAATAAAAAAACACCTATACCATTAAATAGAGAATATAAATTGCGATTGCTTGAAAAAACCGAGATACTGATTAAAAGAATGAGATGGAAGGTATTTTTCTTTATGAATAACCAGTCTAACGGTATGAATAATATTAATAACAATAGTAATAATAATACCAGTTTTAGTTCTTATGGTATTAACAAACCGCAATGTCCACAACAGATTAGTGATATGCGTGCATTTAAATGCGATTTATTCAAATTAATTAAAAACATACAGTTTACGATTGCTCAATGAAGCTTTTAAAATAAATTAAAAAAAGACATTTCTACTATTCGAAAATCAAGGTATACTTACACTCACGCTGACAAAACATCAAACTTATATAAATTATCAAAAGACGAATACAATAATTTATTAATGAACGCCACTACATCTAATTATAAAAAAACCAACCCTATAATAAAAGATAGCATCAATAAAAAAGGAAAAACTATTCTTAAAAATCATGAAGTTTTTAACAAAATCAATATAAACAGTTCTTCCAATTGTTTCATTACATTAAAAGACCATAAACCTAATTTTTTAAATAATCCTACTGTTCGTCTAATTAACCCAGCTAAGAGTGAGGTTGGTAAAACAAGTAAGCATATTTTTTCAGGTATTAACACCAAATTTAGAAATATTTTGCGATTAAATCAGTGGAATAGTACACAAAATCTAATAAATTGGTTCAAAAACTTCAGTGACAAACATTTTTATAAATTCCTCATTCTAGACATTGTTGACTTTTACCCTTCTATTAACAAAAAGTTACTTATCGATTCCATAAAATTTGCAGAACAATACGTTTCCATTGGTGCTGATCACAAATCTTTAATTCTCCACGCGCGTAAATCTTTATTATTTACCAATGACCAAGTTTGGATTAAAAAATCAGGTGGTTTTTTTGATCTAACCATGGGTGCATTTGATGGAGCGGAGGTGTGCGAATTATTTGGTATTTAACTTCTTTTCCAGATTTCGCAATTTTCTAATTAAACTGATTTTGGATTATATAGAGACGATGGCTGAGACGTATTTAAAAACGCAAGCGGTCCAAAAATAGAAAAAATTAAGAAGCATTATACTCAAATATTTAAACAAGACAACCTCAGTATTTCCATTCAATCTAATATAAATATTGTTAATTACCTTGATGTTATATTTAATCTTAATAACAACACTTTTCAACCTTACTATAAACCTGATAGTACGTTAAATTATATCCATGCTAATTCCAACCATACATCAAGCATTTTAAAACAATTACCAATCTCAATTGAACATAGGTTATCTTTCGATTCTTCAAGCAAAAAAATATTTCAAAAAACTGCTCCAATTTATAATGACGCATTAGAAAAGTCTGGATTTTACACCATTTTCCAATATCGTTCAAATCTAAATTCTTCTATTACTAATAAACGAAAAAGAAATATTATAAGGTGTAACCCTCCTTATAGTAAAAATGTGATAACAAAAATTGGACATCTTTTCTTAAACTTAATTGACTTGCATTTTCCATTACATTATAAGCTTCACAAAATATTCAACAGAAATACAATAAATAGTAGTTACAGCTGCATGCCAAATATTCGATCAATATTTAATTCACACAACCAACAAATTTTGCGCAACAAACTTACCGATAATGATATAAACTACAACTGCATTAATAAAACCACATTCCCGTTAAATTATCAATGTCTATCAAAAAATGTTGTATATAAAGCCACTTTAGAATCACCCAATACCAGTCTTACCAAAAAATCCTACATCGGAATTAGTGAAACCACATTCAAGCTCAGATTTGCAAATCATCTTAAATCATTTATTGCAACCAGGTAAAGGAATGATTCGGAACTTTCCAAGGAAATCTGGAAACTTAAAAACGCGGGTAACATGCCTATAATTAAGTGGAACATAATTAAAAGATGCCAATCTTTTAACTCATCTACAAAAAAGTGTAACCTTTGCATCAATGAAAAGTATTTTATTATAACTTTTGATAGTCGACTACTACTTAACAAAAAAAGTGAATTGGCTTCTGCTTGTAGGCATAGGAAAAGTTTTTTACTATCTAACTTTGATTCCGGCGATTAGCAAATATCGGATCACGTATAATATTTTTTATTTGAATAATATGGCTGATGATTGCCGAATGGCATGAAACTTTTACTTTCATCATAAAGTTGTATTTTTGTCATTTAAATTATTTTAATATAATTTGATCTATTTTTTTAAAAAAAGATATTGATCACTCTTAAACAGACAAGAGTTGTATTTCCAGCAGTATACAACATTTATCAATATATATATAAGTATATATATATATATATATATATATATATATATATATATATATATATATATATATATATATATATATATATATATATATATATATATATATATATAACTAACATTTTGCTATTATTATTATTTATATTATTATACACTTAGCTAACGGTGGAAAATCTGACTCTGTCCATTCTTTCCATTTCCAATG